TGTGAAGAAAGTTGGCACTAACAGGCACTAACTGACATCCGAGGACTGGAGCAAAGAAACAAGATGCAGAGCTGTGGTAACAGTAAAAGGTTTTCAGCCCCCAAACCACAGGCAGAAAGAAATGCTGTGCTGTCCAGGTGGTCTTCCCCCAGAAACTGATGGGGATGGCACAGACCCCACATCTTTCTCTGCTCTGCTGCAGCAGGAGGGAGACTACAGCAGGGCATTTTAAGCATTAGAAAAGATGTAGGGATTAATTGTGAGATTAAAGCCATTGTTACTGAAGGTCTGCTGCTGCTCTGGTGGGCTCTGCTCTGCTGCAACGTAATTCTGGCTTGTCTCTGCAGCATCTGTGCCGATTTGGGAGGAGGAAACCACCACTAAAGCAATCCTCCCCTTCCCTCACCCCCCCAAAAGCAAGCCCCCATGGAATTTCCTGCCAAGCACTCCAATGGGCATGCTCACCTGATGCAAGGGCGCTGTCAGTGCCTCTAACAAAAGCTCTTGGTACAGGTATTGGTGATGAGGTGGGGCAAGAGGTGCCCATTCCGTCAGCCGAAGGCAGAGGATGAGGAGGAACACGCTGTTAATAACGGGAATACAGTTTCACACTTGGCACTGGGCAGGCAGCCAGCTCCTAACCACAGGGATTTTAACTCAGTAAATTTACAAGCCGTGGATCTTTGCCCACCAGTCTGTAATATTTCTTTCCTGTCAAGGCATGAAATCTTCTGTAGGTCAATCTGGTCCTGGCTCTTTATGCATTTGGAGAGGTTTACTCTCCAAACCTGCTCCTGGCTTTTGTGTTTGCAAATGGCTCTTCTTCTGGGAAAGTCCTGGATGTTAACACTGCAGCATTGCTTTGTGTCAGTGCTGCTGCTGGAGCCAGTACTGGACATTTTGCTTATAGAGAGTTGGCCTGTGTGCCTGCAGAAAAGAGGAGGAATAAGTGGCAGCCTTTGATAAGGGTGAGTTGTACAAATAATGAAGGTTGATCAATGAACCCTTTTCCTTCTTTTGGTATATTTACAAGGTACAAACTGCCATTGGTACCATCCCAAGTCTTAGCTTTTCTGTAGTGGTGAGGATACACTTGGATAACTTGTTGGACTGTTGGGAAGTTATCGTGCCAGTTTACTGGCTCATCATGCCCAACTGGCATAGGCTTTCCTAGCGTGGATGGAGTAATGGTCCTGAAGGTCAGGGCCTCTCCTGTCAGCCTTTGCAGAGTTGCTTTTTTACTGATTTGATGCTCAAGAATGAAAGATGAGTTACTTTTGAGTTCTCTTGCTACAGCACTTTTTTTGTTCTGCTGTACCACATTGGAGCCAGATCCGTGCACCTTCTCATTTTGCCTCCCAGTTTATTCTTCATCTAATCCTTGATTTCCTTTCATGGCCTTCTACTGAAGTCAGCATGAATATCCCAGATCTATCCCTCTGTCTCTTTTAGTTCCACATTTCTGCTGCTACTTTCAGGTCTCCCTTGGTGTCCTCCTGTGTCCTCTCTTCTCTTGCCCATTTCAATACTTCCCAAGCCCTTGAATTTGTTGTTTGTTTGCTAGAGGCAATAATCAATGTCATTGTTTTTGCTCACTTATCTTTCTCTAAGATAGTGTTTCATCACTGGCAACTCCCTGGTTTGAGAACTGTTTATTTTTCTTGTCCTTCGTTGCTTCCTTCTAGACAGCACACATCCCCCAGCTGAATCACTCCTCCCTGCCACCACCCCACGATTCCCCTCACACTGCACCGAGTTCCTCCCACTATCTGTTCAAAACCTCTTGTCCTCACCATTAAGACTGCAAGATTGTGCATTTCTTTCTGTTTCCCTGTCTCCATCCCTCCCACCCTCATGTCCCTCACCCTCCCAGTGCTCTCTGTGCCTCCCCTGCCCAGCTGGCTTCGCCTGGGCAAGCCTCGGTGCTTGAAGCAGCCCATGTTAACCTACCGTGACCAACTTCTGCCTTCACTTCTTGTCTCATGGCTTGTTTCTTCTCCCCAGCTCTTACTGTGCTGCCAGATGTTGCCCATGAGCATTGCCCAGTGGTGCTGGGACACCAAAGTGTAGGTTGCTCCTCTACTTTGCAGAGGCTCGTGCTCATTCATAGTAAGTTTAAGTATAGACATTGCCTACTTGCTTGCCATCAGCCTTGCTCCTTAGTGACAGCAACTCTTAGCTAGACTGAAATACTGCAGGAGCCCTTGAAAGAGCAGGAAAAGAAAACTTTGCCAGGGAATTAAAACTGTAGAGATGGAAGTGTAAATTGGAGAGGGGAAAAATGGGGCAGCACCTTCCGCTCGTGCATGGGGCCGCTGGCACGGCTCCTTCCACGGCACTCGGCTCCCGCTGCAGCCTGCCTATGCTCAGGCAGTTTCTATTTGGGCAAGCTGTCACCACGCGAGCGCACGATGAAGCGGCAATCACAAGCACAGGCACTCTGTATGCCTGCAGAATGAGGATGTGATCTTTACTGTTCCCTCACTTCTATATTTTTAAACTCCCAGCACAGCCCAAGACCAGCAGCTCCTGAGTGTCTGAGTTAACGAGGTCTGCTCAGGGCCCTTCAATCACTGCACCTTTCTACCCATTTTTTTAATCCAGAAGACTTTCTTGGTTGCCAGCATCTAGTCTGACCACTGAGTAACTTATATATTATAAAAGCACAAGAGAAAAATCCCGTTCTTAGACATGGGTGAAATCTTTCCATCAAATAGTGAGCTTGCTAAAGAAAGGAATTTGAGGGATCAAAACTACCTACGAGATTGGATTGAATGCTGGATGAGGAAGAAGACACTAGGAACTGAGTCTTTGAAAATGCTGGATGTTTTAGTAGTGCTTTTTATGAAACTTTACTTTTGAAATATATTTTTTCTGAACTTAGATCTTTGTAATCTTTTTAATATGTAGCACCCCCCCCCCCAAAAAAAAAAAACAACAGCCAAAACTTGATGCAGTGAATTTTGACTATATTAGAAAACAAACAAATTGTATTTCTGTTCTAGCTCCAAATCTTTGTATTGGCAACCAAAGCAAGAGCTTTGATTTGCCAGAAAAAAATGAGGATGACAAGGGTGCCTGCAGGCTCTCTCTGGTGCTCTTATCCCTCCCACTGCCCTGAAGATCTCCACCTTCTCCATTCCTGGGCTCTGGGCACTGCAAGACCCTGCTGACGTGGTAGCTGTCCTTATCTTCCCAATCGCAATGCTCATACCCAAATTTGAACAGAAAAGGAGGTTTGGTGGGTTTTTTTGTTTTTTTTTTTTTTTTTTTGATCCTCTAACTGTTAAGATGCGTTTCAGCTCTTTACGCTGACTCACTGGTCTGGCGTGGAGCCAGTTTATTTATGTGACTCCCCCCATCATTACCATACGTGCCTCAGAAAGCAGCTGTGCTTACAACACATTTCAAATAAACAGACAATTGAATTATGGACTTCAGAGACTGGTCCAAAGTTGCTCGGCTCTCCAGCGCCCTGGGCTGAGGCTCCAGCTGCCAGACTCCCGCTTTGGAAATCCTCCTCCACCCTGCGCAGCCCAGGGCTGCCGAGGTCTCTGCCTGGTGAGGATCTAAGCCTAGTCCCAGATCCATGACTAACCTTTAACTTGGCTGCAAATTTTCCCATTCCTCCCATCCTGCACGTCCACCTCTGTGGATCCAGCGAGGAGGAGGACATGGATGTACTTTCTTCTCATCGGCTTTGTTTTCCAGATTTTTGCATGTACAAATGCAGCAATAAGACAAGTTTGTACTAGTTGAGGCATGTCTCCAAGTGTCTCTTGGTGACTCTTAAAACATGGTTCTGCCATGTTACAGCAGTAGTGCATGAAATCTGGACAGAGCTCCCAGACACTCATCAGAGGATACTCCCACCTTAATCAGACTTAAACACTCTGGATGCTTCCACACTCATGTACAATTGCCAAGGTCTGGGTTTATCACCCATGAACACTCAGCCACACGTTGTCCTGTTCAAAGGAACGAGTCACATTTCAAATCCAAAGGCATTTGTTGAGCTGGAACGATTTAAGGAAACCCCACAGCTCGACGGTCAGAGCTGTTTCCCCACGGATCTGGTAGGTCTGGGCGGAGGCCCTTTCCCAAGGAGAAATAGGGCCAATGCTGATTAATCCTCCAAACCTTCTGAAACCAGTTTCATCCCAGAAAAGGCGACCGATCCCAGACACAGTATCTGACAGCGGCATGAGGAATCCTCTGCTGCGCTCCCAGCCCATGCAGGGTGCGGGCGGGCTCCCGGGTGCCGCTCCCTGGCCCAGGAGGCTTCTTGGCTTCGCTCCCTGCCCCGGTGACTGGCTTCGGCTCCTGGCAAAGCCTCTTATCTGCCTCTCTTTGTCTGTCTATAAAATGGGCATGAGGCATACTTCAGGAATGATATTTGTTTTCGGCATCAGTCACTGTGCTTTAAAAGCCTGATGCGAATGATACATTGCACGGAGGGGGTGGGCTTGGAGTTTCTCCTAAAAACTGCTGTGGGACCCCGTCCCTAGCATTGCGCTCTGGCAAACAGGAACCTGCTGCCGGGCTCGGCTCTTTACGCTGAAAAAAAGGGCAAAACGGTTTCTAACCCGGATTTCCTCCCCGGGCCTCCCAACTTCAGCGCGGGCAGCAGCACCCCACCTCTTGCACCCAGCCAGAAGTCAGGGCGAACCTTACACAGAGCCACCCCGGCAGCCTCGGGGAGGCCGAGGCGCGGCGGCAACCTTCCACCAAAACTTGAAGACATTTTTTTTATTATTAATTATTATTATTATTTTTAATATTTATTTTAATTACACACACAGCCCCACCCGCCCAAACGCGGACGAGCCCTCGTTTCCCACCGGCGCTCCCCGCACAGGCCGCTCTCGCGGTACCCCCGGGGATGCTCCGCCGCTCCGCGCCTTCCACCTGCCGGGGCGCGCTGCGGCGCGCCGGCTCCGCGCCCCCTCCACCCCCTCCGCGGCCGCGCCCCCTCCGCGGCCCCACCTCGGGGCGGAGCTGCGGCCGCAGCCGGAGCCGGAGGCGGGCGGGGGCCGGGGCTGCGCGGCGCCGCTGCCTGCCTGCCTGCCTGCCTGCCTGCCTGCCTGCCTTCGGGGCGGCCGGGCCCGCGGAGCTGCGCGGAGCTGCCGCGGGTGAGTGCGGGGCTGGGGCGGGGGAGGCAGCGGGCGGGATGCTGCGGGCGCGGGGCCGGGGCCGGGGTCCCCCCTCTCTCCTCGACCCCCCCCCCCCCCCCCCCCCGGGGGCGCAGCCAGGGCCGCGGAGCGCTCCGCGGGTGCGGAGCGGGGTTCCCCGCAGCGGCTGCAATCACGCCGCGGAGTTTCGGTAATTCCCGCCCTGTGCAACCCTAGACCGGGCTGGCGAGAGGCACTTAAATAGCGTAGTCCGCTGCCTTCCCGGGTAATCCCTCTGTAAATTTGTCTGCCCTTATTTCGGACGCGTCTAACGATGAGGACGCAGTTCCCCCCTGAAGGCAGTTTTTACTCCATTGAATGCCCGGCGTTTGCGTTTAAATACGCGTTTGTGCCGTGGGTCGTCCTGCAAAGCCCAGGACACTGAAGCTATGCAGTTTCTTGCGGTTGTTTGTGGATGGGTTTTGCTTATTGCATTTGGAAATCCTCTCCCTTTTGGCATGATTCAGGTGTGGAAAAAATACAGTGGAGGTAGCATAAATATAAGCAACCGTAATTCCCGAAATGGCATCAGGATTGCAAGTGCAGGTTTCTGTGTGAGATGAAGGTCTTTCTCGGAGAGAGTCTCCTTCAGACACTGGCAGACCAGGCAAACTTCAGCCTGAACTTCAGCCCCTTCTCCAGTTCCAAGGTCTGAGGTGTCAGTGGTGGTAGAGAGGCTCTCAGTTGACTCGGTTGACAAGCTGAAAAGTTCATGTTTATATCTTTGCTTACTTCTCATTGAAAGATCTTTTCTACGCTGTGATAACTGCTCAAGGAGGAGGATGCTGCTACAATGGAGTAGCAGAGAAAGTGGCTTCTCACAAATTGTCGGGGAAAGCAGAGGGCTCATAAACCTGGGGAGAAAAAAAAAAAAAAGTCCAAATCTCTTGGTTTGAGCCTCGCTGTGTTGCCCAACAAATGCTCAGGGAGGCTCGGGAGAAGCGGCTGCCCGGGCTGCCCTCGCTTTCACCTTGACCCAGCCTTCCTTGACCCGGGCGCCCTCAGCCCTGCCGTTACTGTTAGGTGCTTTTTCACAGATGGAAGGGCCAAGTGCTGTTACAGCAGAAAGCAGGAGGGGCTTTTCTGCCTGGAACTGAATTTAATTTGGTGGGGGATTGTGTTTGATGTGAAAGACGTAATGTATTAAATCCTGAATATGAAGAATACTTTTTCATGTATGTTTTTCCCTTCCTTGTTTAATCTTTACACTGTGGGTTGGCCCAAAAGCTGTGGATGATATTGAAAATACTCTTATTACATTATGGGTTTTGCTTCATGTGCTAAGATCTCTCATGAGGTTTTTTTTTAAAAAAAAGAAGCTCATTTTCCTTCCGACTGGAAAACATAAGTGACTATTTCATAAGAAAAATAAGATTTAAAGTGTTGAACTTCAGATATCTGTGGTGGATGCGATGAAATGCTGAGATACCGCGTCTTCTTTTTGCCATCAAGACCACGTGTCCAGGCTGCCCGTTTCTAACAATGTCTTGTTGTTGAGTCCCTCGTTCTAGGAAAAATGACTCTGTGTGAGTGTGCTGGTACCAACTTGTACCGGCTCCTCGGTGCTTCTGCATCGCTTCTGCAGCCACTTTGTTGGAACCTTATTTTCCCTTGGTTTAATAATTTATAAAATGCCTGTTGCCTCTAGGCACATTTCATCCAGTAAGAAGAAAAACATCAACCAGTATTTACTGGTTATGGAGCCTGAGGTTGACAAATAATGAAGCTTTTGTGGATGAGGGGATGTCTCATTTTTATCTTATATAAACTCATGAAAATGCAGGGTTTGTGCTAAAAGTCTTCTGGGGATGTTACTCCTTTCTTATCCCCATCCTTAAAAAAGTCTATTGCCTGCTGGTGAAAAAGTGGGTTTTAACTGTGACCTTCCTTAACCTGTTTTTGGGTCTGCTTCTCCTTTTTGCTTTTATTGATGTCTTACTCAAGTTTGGCAGCTCTTGGGTATTTAATGGTTGTGAATTAAGATAGCAAAATCAGGTCTTGCATCTTCACAGGCTTTGTTTCTTTGGTGTGAAAGAGGTCAGTCTCTTTTTGGGCAATAAATTACCCTCTCAAATCCTCTGCCAGATATTTATGAACCACTATCATTAATTGTATTTTGAATCACTCATTGAGCCGGTGGGGGGATATTGGCCTGCAGTTCATCTTCTCTCCTTTGAAACTGCTAAATGATGATTCAGTGACCTTAGTGGGCAAACTATACCACCAGCTATTTGGCCTAAGAAGAAAAACTTGCCTGATACCAAACAAACTGGCAGCTGCTGTTCATTCTGAAACCCTCTGCTGGCCCAGGTGATACTCCCAGTTTCAAATACTTGTGGGGTTTTGTTGAGGCACTGGAAAGGGTACATAGTCAGTTCTTTGTTAGCTGTACCTGTGCGTGGTGTCCATTCCACCTCCATCAGGTTTTGAAGGTATTGTCCCTTAAAGTATAAAAATCTTAATATTTCAAGCTTGCCTTCCCCTGTGGATAGCCCTCTCCTCTTCCTCCTCAGAGGGTGAAACTGCTCACTGGGGTGTAATGTTTTTGGAGGATTTGGCTCTGCCGGGGATCTCAGCAGAGCTGGATTTAGGAAGGAGGCGAAAGCATGATGCAGTGACCCCACTCATCACCTTGCTGTCCCCGTCTCTGCTTTGGCAAAGCCCTTTTCAGGAGCGATGTGCCTCTCCCCAGACGTGCCTGGGAGCTTCGTGGCCTGTCGCAGGTCAGGCTTAGTCCCTGCATGGGCAGCGAAATGTGCTGTGTGACTAGTTGGGGCCGGGGAGAGTGGGACAACGTGCTCAGCCGGCGCTAACGGTCAGCACGACCTCGCTGCTTGTTTGCTTGTTGAAGCTAATTCAGGGCTGGCAGCCTCTCTGCAAGGAGGGCTGTAATTGCAGGCGAGTGCCGGTGTAGAAGCATTCTGGCTCCACACATTCAGCCCTCCTGGCTTAAAGAGCTGCAGGAGTGAGCAGGGATGTGTGAAAGGGGTCAGCTGTTGGCTTTTTGCAAGGCTGTTAGTCGAGTTACACCACCTCCTAGGATGGCCTTGCCAGCTGGCTCATCCTTTAGGGAAGTTTAAAGAGGCTTATTGCAATCTTACTAGAAATCTGTCGTCTTCTATTAATCTACTTGTCTCTCCTCATCTCCTTTCCATGTGCTCCCTTGCTCATTCATCTCCACAGCGCCATTCTGCTTGTGCTGCTGCTGGTCAACACTAGCAGTGCCTCTTGTGAAAGTCTTGTTTCGGGCATGTTCGTTGGTAGACTGTCACTTTGCTGTCCAGCATGGGTTTTGTTTATATATAGAGGTACTTTATTTAAAAAAAAAAAAATGTTTTTTTGAGGGTGTCACTCCTGAAAGGACAACAGAGCCTGGTGTTTTGCTGTCTGGGGTGGAGGTACAGGAGAATCACGGTACCCAGGGGCAGACAGATTCCAGCTCTGAGTAAGCCAAAGCCTGCTCCTACGCCAGGTCCCGCTGGGCAGCGGGCTCAGCACGGAGTGCAGCTTGCCTTGCTGCTGGCTGCAGCACAGGGGACTGGTAATTGTGGATGTGAATCACTGGCTGCACCGTCCGCTCTGAAATCAGGGATGGTTCCCGCTTTGGGGGGTAGCACTGCACTTGCAAAGGGCACAGGGGAAGGGCAGCTGGAAAAAGCTGTCAAACTTTGGGAGGTGAGAGGAATGAATGCTGCACCCTGAGTCTCCTGGCAAAGTGGGAAAGTGTTCGTCAGTGAGAACTGGTGATACTGGAGTGAGTCTGAATGCGGTGGCACCCCTGGACACCTCTGCTAGCCTGGGCAAATGTTACTTTGAGTAATGCAGTTCTTCCTAATGGACCTTTTGCTTGCAGGTCTCACAGAAGTGTGTCAATACTGGGGTTAACAGCCACGTAGGTACCAAGAAAAAAATAAAAGAATAGTTTGAGGAAGGCTAAGCCTTAATACCTATACAAAGCAAACAAATGGTATATCATTTGACATGGATTAGGTGAGCTGCAAGATGTCTGGCTCCAGAGGTGCGGGTAGGAAATGCAAAGCCGGGTGGCTGGGCCATCCCTGCTTCCAGAGGCAGCATCCGCCTCTGATGCCGGTACCGGTGCTGCCAGGAGCCGGGTGTCTCCTCGACTTTCACAGGGATGCACCTTCTCCTGCACAACACGTTTGCTATCCTTGAGTGTTGCTGGCTGGCGGGGAAAGAGATCAGTGCGTTTTGTGGTTTTTTTTTTTTTTTTTTTTTTTTTTTTTTTTTTTTCCAGAAGAGTCAGCTGATTTCATCCCATGGGAAGTGGTTGAAAAGCAGGAGACAGGTGGGTTGGCATTCCTGCTTCGTAGCCTTCTGTAATTCCAGCAGGAGAAGGATAAACGGAGGAGTGCAGTTGCTGGGTACTTTTCTATGTTTGCATTTGAAAGAGCTTGATAGGCTGTGATTAATGAGGCTAAATGGCAGCTTGATAAATGGTAAATTCAAATGAACTTCAAACAAAAATGGCTTTATAAGAAGGCTTTTGGTTGTGTGCAAAGTGCAGGTTGTGGGTTTCATCTAGTGCTGCTTGGTTTGTGGCTGGCAGGGTGCGTTGCATGGGCTGTCCCCATGTGCCTGCTGCAGGGATCGCTGCCGGGCAGCAGGTCCTGCCCAAGCCCCTCTGCGCAGACCCTCCTGCCAGGCAGTTGTTTCTTTCTTGGTTTAGGTTAATACAATACTGCCAAATTTGGACTACCGTATTTGCATCCTGGAGCCCTGCCCTCCCCATGTCCCCATATCCAGGCTCTAATTAAGCATGCTCTAAAAGCAGCAGGCCAGCTACCATGGCCTTGCAGATCAGAACCATTGGCCTAATCTATTTTTGAAGTGAATTAAACTAGAAAAAGGTACTGCCACTCTAGAACAAGAAGCCACCTGGGGAGTTAACCCAGAATAGTTGTTCTGCTTTGAATTTATACCCTATCTCACTTCAAGAT